AATATGAGCATAGGACTACTTGTCTAACAGGCTAGCTAGTTTTGGAGATTATCAGATTGAAATCAGCTGCCGCACTATTTTAGTAAATGATAATATGGTGGGTGGCCTGGCTAGGCCTACTTGTTGAAAATTCATACTAGGGACTATCTGTGCGTTTCGTTCGGCTCTCCACAGACGGCGTTCATGTGGAATTTGTGGGTGCTCTCTGCACTGAAGCTTAGGAGGCCGCTCGGGGCCGCTTCGTGTCGCGTCGCTGTTTGCAGACCTGATCCGGTCGGATTGCGGAACTAATCGTAGGGGCACAGATAGGTTTTGAAAGAGGTCGTCGGACTTCTGTCCAGTACAGGACTTGTTAAAGTGCTGCGATGCCCAGGAGGGGCATCCAGTGGAGGCTGACCCTCCGACTTGCCACATTAGGGCTATTTTTTGAGGCGCTGGTTAGGTTGCAAGATCTGATGGGGTGCCTGAGGTGGCCTAGTTTGGTTGTAGATTCGGTCTTGCAACTTGCCTTCGCGACCTTGTCCCGCTGACCGGTTTGCTCGCGGACCTAAATCCTTATATCCGGGACGGGGGTTTGTTCACGCCAAACACTTTCAAGGAACGAACGCGAGAGGGCGTGCGGCTCAGTGTCATACCGGTTTGACATTCGGTCGTGCGTAAAACGCCCAAGGGCAGTCAGTCGTCCATAATCGGTGCTGACGTGAGCACGCGGTCCATTCTGTTAGGGAACTCGGAATAATTCGGCGCGGCCAGTAAATATACGGTCTATCATTGTGACGCGCATTCCTACTGGAGAGCTTCCCGGGACTTATTGTGTCTGACTCAAAACCTGCATAAGTGCATTCGGCAATATTAGATAGTGATATTCTAGAATTAACTATTGCTACGCGAAACGGTAGTGACCTTTGACCCTTTAAACTCCGTGTGCGTTTGTGCGGGAACCATTATACCCAGCGATAGTTAGTGGCTTCTGTAAGTTAGTAAATCGTACGATAGAGTTAATTGACTGGCAACGTGACGAAAGAAGAAAGTGACTGTGGACTACCTCGAAAGGCGCCCTCAAGTTGGAGCGGTGTCGACGCTCGGGCTGCTGCCGACGGCCAAGGTCTAGGTTCAATCACCATCAGTCACACCCAGATATTCACCACATCACCATTCCTTCCCTTGCACTACACAACCACATGCGACCTGACCGACTCCGGAGGGACCAGTCGCCTTGGATAGGTAAGTAAGCTTCATCCAAATTCCTTCCGGTCGACTGGCCGTAGTATAACGCTCCCCCATATATTTTAATGTAATTAGGAATTTCCACGTGGCCACATTGGGGCCCGACCTACGTCTGTTCGGGAAATCTTCAGCTCATGGGCCCCTGAAGATTGGATCCTTTAAGGGAGCAGCCGTAGGCCGTAACAATCTTTATATATAAAAATTACGTCTCACATTGTTTGTCTGCGATGTACTCCTAAAATACTGAAATGATTTCAATGAAATTTTGCACACTATGTGCAGTTTGGTCCAACTTGAAAGATAGGATAGTTTTTATCCCGATAAGTGACCCTCAATATTTTTTTATTGTGAATTTAAGAATGTTTTATAGGAAGGGTCTTCGGAAATGGCAGAACAACGTCTGCCTGGCCAGCTAGTAATCTATAAAAATAATATTTTGGGGATTAAAATTTCTTTGTCTGAATGCAAAACAAATTTCACCACCTTCGTATGATTATTTTACCAATACTGAGCTCTTTATATGTTTAGTTCACATGACACAAACCTTTATATGTTTAGTTCACATGACGCAAAGTGTCGCCACCTAGTGTCGAATATATTTAATTATATTTGAAAGCCGACGCAAAGAGATTTTTCTAGAACTATTTTAATAAATTAGGTGTAAAATTACTTACAAATGAAATATGATGCCATCCATAACATCAGAGCGTCTATCTGAGTAGTTTTTACACGATAAAACACAATTTCTTTCAACACTTCATCCTTTTCTTCTTAATACTACGAAAATACACCGATTTGCGATTTTCAACACTTAAGCGCACAGAACGAGTGCTGACAGTATACTAACTAAAGCCACGCCCACTATGATGACGTCAGGACCTACTTAGAATCACAGTGCACAGTTGCTTATGTGCACTGTGATTCTTCTTTCTAAACCGTCCTTCTAAAGAGCAACTACTCAAGGAATGATTTGCCACTCTAACTTTATAACTGTTTTACTTTTATTAAACTTTTAAATTTGGTGATCTTTCCCTTTGGCGTACTCATTAACTGACTACAACTCTACTTCCTGAAAGTGTGTGGCCTTACAAACCACACACAAACATATTTCTAAATAAAATGTAATAATAATAATCTTATGGAATTCACAAATCTTCAATTTACGCAATATTTAGTTTAGTGAACAGATTGCAGTATAGTTCAGTTGAACATAGTTAATGTTCGGAATGCGAAATCTAGTGCGTAGTACATATATATCGATGTCTTTCGTCATATTGGATCAGATATCCAAATCTTACGTATAAAATTGCGTTTAATGTTGTTAAAGACAAACTGTTTCTCAGTTTTGTTTTAACCAAGTTAACTTGGCTGAATACACGTTTGAATGTGGCAACTTCAGCAACATTGTTGCAAATCCAGCCTTTTCCAAGAAGGGAATGTTTCCTGTAGCGTCCTTGAAGTTCAAGACTTCATACCAAAATTCAGTGGTGGATGAAATAGCATACGATCAATGTCTCGCCATTGTGATACAAGATTATCGATTTTTGCCAAATTTAGCAATAAAATGCTAAATTGGCATGGCTGGATAAGACATAGTACAAATGGATAAGACATAGGGTCAAATTTTAATGACGCTTATCTCTTCTTTCTGCTTTTCGTAATATATGACGTTATCAAATCAAATAGGTTCAAATGTCAAATCAAACAATTACATTTGTATATATTTCATTTATTTGGATTGCTTTTAATTTTGCTATAGGAGCTGTTGTTCATTTATATAATTGTTAAAAAAATAAATATGCATTATAAAATTTTCCAATTAAATGGTGCAAGAAGAGGAAAAAATGATAACACGAAAAGGCTACTCGTAGCAATATTTCCATTGACGATGAAAGGTATGTGGTGATTTCAACTTTAATTGAAATATGATATTTAACGCGAGTACATTTTTGGACTAGCCATCTACGTAGGACAGGTTTTTATAGTGTACGATTGTGTGCAAAAATTCACACTATTTCTTAAATCTGATAATTCAATGGGATGACTGTAGTATACTTACCTCTTTGTTATAATATACAACCTTATTCATAATTGCTATAAACGAAGATATCTGTCATCCTAAAATATTATAACTTGTCAATGTATTTTATCTTTATAATGTATGTAATATTTTATGTTGAATAAAACCAAATATTCATTGGTTTTGACTTTCTTTATCAATTTATTCAACATAATTGTTTTAAAATGTCGATAAACGATGCAAGCTGTTCTTCTTCGGAAATAAACACGATGTCGCGATTTCTTCGACCAGACTGGTTTGATGTCGAACCTGATACACCGGCAGCAGACCTAAAATGGAGCCACTGGCGGTATACATTTTCAAATTGTTTTAATGCCACGTACAATCAAATCAGATTTCTGATTCAACTAAGTTAAAATTGCTCATCAACCATTTGTCGCCGACAGTCTATTCACTAATACGTGACTGTTCTTCTTATTTGACTGCCATTCAATTGCTTGATAGCATTTATATAAAGGCTAAAAATGAAATACATGCACGATATACTCTAGCAACCAGAAAACAAAAACCCGAGGAGTCTATTACTGAATATATTCGAGCTCTCAGGCAATTAGCATACGACTGTAATTTCAAAAACGTAACGCGGAGCAAAAGAAGAATGACTATATTCGTGATGCCTTCATATCGGGTATCACAAGTCAAAAGATACGAAAAAGGCTTTTAGAAAACATAACTTTGACATTGGAGGAAGCCCAAAATCAAGCTACATCTTTAGAAACCGCTGAGAAAAATTCTTTAACTTATACAAACTGCAATAATCATCAAATGCAATTACATGCTGTAACTGATACTTACAATGAAAAACCAGAAAGTAGCACGCAGAATTACAGCATAGCCATTGCAGCAAGTCAACGTAAGCGATGTTTTTTTTTGTGGTAATAAAAGTCTACATCAACGAATAAAATGCCCTGCTTTTAACGCAATATGTCAATTATGTTCAAAGAAAGGGCACTTACATACTGTTTGCAAAAGTGGTAGACCAACTGTAAATGCTGTAGACAGTGAAGTTGCGGATGTTATTAAAACCAAATGTATATCTCCTGCATCTCCATCTAGCTTAAGCAAAGCGACAGTGCCTATTATGATTAATGAATTCCACGCTGAAGCTCTGATTGACACAGGAAGTTCTGTCAGTTTTATAAATAAGACATTAGCCCAAAATATGAACTTAAAGATGAGACCTCATAAGCAGGCTATATCTTTGGCTTCCCTTAGTCATATTTCTTTTGTAGAAGGCATTACATATGCAACGATAAATTTAGACAAGCATACATATTCAAATCAACCTTTACTAATTGTCAATAACCTATGTGCAGATGTTATCCTAGGACATGATTTATTGAAAAGCCACAAGACATTAGAATTCAACTTTGGGGGTTCAAGGGATTCCTTAAAAATATGTGTTATGGAAGCGTCAGTACCTCCTGTATCGTTGTTTACGAACCTTTCTCCAAACATAAAGCCAATTGCAATAAAGTCAAGGCGTTATACAAAAATTTATGAAGAATTTATTAGAGGTGAAGTTTCTAAATTGTTGAAGGATGGAGTGATTGAACCAAGTAACTCTCCTTGGCGAGCGTAAATACTAGTAACAGGAGGCACTACACATCGAAAACGTCTTGTCATTGATTATTCCTTAACAATTAATAGATTCACTGAACTCGATGCGTATCCACTACCTAACATTGAATCTATGGTTTCCAACGTTGCAAAATACAACTATTTCAGCCAAATTGATTTAAAAAGCGCTTATCACCAAGTGCCGATTTTAGAGACTGAACGAAAATATACAGCATTTGAAGCATGTGGGGCCCTATATCAATTTACTCGTATACCATTTGGAGTCACTAAAGGCGTGGCTGCGTTTCAGAGAACGCTACAGTTCATAATTGAGGCTGAAAATCTAAGAGGCACCTTCTGTTATTTAGATGACGTGACTGTATGTGGCGAACACGATAAAAACTTGCAGCAATTTATGAATGCTGTGAAGAAATACAAACTTACGTTAAATGAGAAGAAATGCACTTTTGGATCAAAAAGTATAAGTCTATTAGGATATTACATTGAGAACAACGTTATCAAGCCAGACAAAAAACGATTAAAACCACTATTGAATCTCCCTACTCCAACAGATGCAGCCTCATTAAGACGTACTTTGGGTATGTTAGCTCACTATTCGAAGTGGATTTACAACTTTTCATTCCTTATTAAGCCTTTGATTGATAACACACGATTCCCACTTAGCCAAGAAGCCATAAAATGTTTTAAAATTTTAAAATTGAAAATAGCCAAAGCGTCCCTGACAGCTATTGACAATGACGAAACTTTTACAGTAGAAACCGATGCATCCGAGCACTCAATAGCTGCAACCCTTTCTCAAAATGGTCGCCCTATAGCTTTCCTTTCAAGAACTTTGTTCAACACTGAACGCGGCCATTCATATATAGAAAAAGAAGCAAGCGCAATTGTGGAAGCACTTCGTAAATGGCACCACTATCTTATTGGAAGAAATTCTATTTTGATAACCGATCAGCAGTCTGTTGCTTTTATGTTCAATCAAAAACATTCAAGTAAAATAAAAAATGAAAAAATTGAACGGTGGCGCTGGAACTGTCTTGCTACAAATACGACATAATTTATCGTCCAGGTCGACAAAATACTGTAGCTGATGCATTATCAAGATTATGTGATATCATGAATCCGAATAAGCTGTATGAATTACATGACCCGCTGTGTCATCCCGGTGTTACCAGAATTGTACACTGGATAAGATCAAAGAATCTTCCATATTCTGTTGAAGAAATAAGATTAATGACAGCATCTTGTAAAGTATGTGCTAAGATAAAACCACGGTTCTGTCAATCAAAAGGCCAGTTGATAAAAGCTATTGCTCCATTCGAGAGAATAAATATCGATTTTAAAGGCCCACTCCCATCGAATACTCAAAACCGATACCTACTGACAATTATAGACGAGTACTCGAGGTTTCCGTTTGCGTATCCCTGCAGTGATTTATCGGCAGCTACAGTGATACGATGTTTGAAAGATCTTTTTCACACTTTCGGATTTCTATTATACGTACATTCCGATCGAGGTACGACTTTTTTATCAGAAGAGCTCAATAATTTCCTAACACCCTTTGGAATAGCTACAAGCAGAAACACACCTTACAATCCTCAAGGAAATGGCCAAGTTGAACGACTAAATGGCACATTATGGAGAGCGATACAACTCAGTCTACGTTCAAAGAATATGGACATTTCAAACTAGGAAAGCGTATTATCCAATGCGTTACACTCAATTCGGTCGCTTTTATGTACGACTACAAACGTCACTCCCTATGGAAGAATGTTCAATCATCCACGTCGTTCGCCTAATGGAAAATCTTTACCTACGTGGCTTATAAACTCTGGACCTGTACTAATAAAGAAAAATATAAGAACATCCAAATATGATCCACTTGTTGAAGAAGCAGAAGTTCTTCACGCAAATTCAACTTACTCGCATGTTCGTCTCTCTGATGGCCAAGAATGCACTGTATCCAATAGACAATTGGCGCCCCTTCCTATGATTCGGATTAGTGAAGAGGAAAATGAAAATGGCCAAGATAATGGAAATAATATTCGCCCTGATATGAATACAAACAATGAGCCAGTAGAACCTATACAATCTAAACAAACCGAAAATGTTCAAAATAACAGTACAGAGCATGATACAGAAAATAGCGGACTTCGCCGGTTCACTCGTGACAGACGGCCTCCCTCATATCTGCGCGATTATGTTGGAACTTCAAGGACGGGTGATTGTAGTATACTTACCTCTTTGTTATAATATTCAACCTTATTCATAATTGCTATAAACGAAGATATGTCATCCTAAAATATTATTACTTGTCAATGTATTTGATATTTATAATGTATATAATCTTTTTTGTTGAATAAAACCAAATATTCATTCGTTTTGACTTTCTTTATCAATGACAATCTGAAACTAACTATACTTAGACACTACATTGTCAATTGACTGCTAACATTCTATTTGTTCAATAAAATGAGATATTAATATTATTTTTTCAGATGAAAGCAATGGGTGAAATAGCTGACACATGCACCAATTGAAAAGATTCACATGTTAAAACATAACATATTTGTGGCAAACATTGCATTTGAACCCAATATATATATATATTATAACGAACGAACGAACGATACAACGAACTGTTATTTCATCAGTGGACTTAATTTAAACTTTCACAATTATGTGTATGTTAATTAGGTTTCATTTACATGTAGCAAAGGATAATATTCCTCTAAAGACACATTTTGGCAAGAATTCGGTTATATAGCTAATCTCAATGTTATTTGTAATTACCTAGTTATAAATATTTTTTTGTATAGATTCATCTACAAACAGCTACAATGAGCACACATTTTGAAAGCGACAATTAGTGAACGATCTCTGCGAGTAGTATGTACATATATGTATTACTGAACATTGGTTGAAAGATTACAACTCCATATTTAATTTCAGTAATCACCAGGTGGTCAGTTCGTTCAATAGAGATACTAAATTACGTGGTGGCTCCATAATATTAGCTAATAAGTCCTTATCATGTAAAGAACGTAAAGACATTGTGAGCCTCTCTGTTGAGCGTACTGTAGAATTGGCATGTGTTGAGCTTGAGCACCTTATTATTGTCAGTGTTTACAGACCCCATGTTCAAGTTATGATACTTTTGAAAAAATTATGGAAGAAGTTTTAGTTAAGCTTAATAAACAGAATAAATCTCTTGTAGTGTGTGGAGAGTTTAATATCAATCTCCTGGAAACTTCTTCCATCAGTATTAAATTTTGTTCTTTGTTCAAATCCTATAATCTTAATAATTTATTCTTTGAAGCTACACGTATTGCAGGGTGTAGTGCAACTTGTATTGATAATATTTTTACAGGTGTTGTACCAATCAACAAATCAATAATTCAAAAACTTAGTTCAGATCACTGTGGACAACTGGTTTCGTTACCTTATATACACAAAAAACAGGTAATTGAGAAAATTGTGTTTGTTCCTATTAATGCAAAACGCCTGGAGAGATTTAGAAGTAATATGGTAAAAAACCTTCCATCCCTTTCTTATAAGAATAATGCAGACTATTTATATTGAGAATTATTTACCCTTATAAACAATGAATTTAATAAAACATTCACTTCTAAAACATTCTCCAGAAACAGTCGCAAGGCATTTAATGAGTGGGCGACAGTAGGAATTCATAAAAGCAGACGAAAGTTATATATGACCTTTACCATGAAAGATCGTATAATCTTTCCGACGCCACGTGGCTCTACCACTGTTATATGAAGATATAACAGTGGTAGAGCCACGTGGCGGCTTTTGCTGTCGCACGGATGGGCTGGCTCGAACCGGGGTGGTACCACGACCTCACAGAATACCAGCGTGAAGTAGGGGTTTACCTCTGCGTTTCGCTTGGTGAGTGCAGGTGGCCGGAGGCCCTTTTTACTGGAAATGAGGCATTCCATCTTAGTCCTCACGGGTGACAACGCATCTGCATTTTGATTTGTTATAGAGGATAGATGTAGATGTCTATGGGCCGCAGCAACCACTTACCATCATGTGGACTGTGTGCTCGTTTGTCACCCTTATCCTATAAAAAAAATGCTTCTAAAGAATATGTAAAAAATTATTCTAAAATGTTTAAAAGAGTTTGCTCCACAGCCAAATCATTACATATTAGTAACAAAATTAAGACGGCTAAGAATAAAATTAAAATGACGTGGAGTATAATTAACAGCGAAACTGGTAAAGAGAAACCTCGTAACTCAAACATTCAATTAAAAATTAATAATGAATTGACTAAATCAAATCAAGAAGTTGCAGCGGTGTTTGAGAAATATTTCACTGGTGTTCCTATCTTGACAACAGAGTCATTGAATGCTTCTCCAACCGTCGCCGAGTCATTACTTAAACAGAATGTTAATACCTGTATAAAAGAATTTAGATTTGAAAAAGTATTACCGCATAATATTGTAAAATACTTCAAAACCATTGATGTAACGAAAACCGCAGATTTGTGGGGGATTTCCGTTACAGTGATTGCGTCCATAATAGATTTAATTGCACCTCATCTTGCTATTATTTTTAATACTTGTATCGATTCTGGTGTGTTTCCTGATTTAATGAAGTATAGTACAGTAATACCTTTATTTAAATCTGGTAGTACATTGGACCCCGCTAATTATAGACCTATTTCTGTACTACCAATTCTCAATATAATTTTTGAAAAAATAATTTTGGATCAATTGTTAATTTTTTTTAATACAAATAAATTACTTCATAAAAATCAATGTGGTTTTACAAGGGGTCGCTCGACGTCTGACGTCGGTGTTGAGCTTATGCAATATATTTTTAATGCCTGGGAGAATTCAGAAGATGCCTTAGGTATTTTCTGTGACCTTTCCACGGCTTTGGATTGTGTTCATCATGAGACATTAATCAGGAAACTACAACATTACGGTGTAAAAAATTTGGCGCTTACACTTATTACTTCATATTTAAGTAACAGAACTCAAAAAGTCGTCATCAATGGTAAATGTTCCTCCGGATCGGTAGTATCAATGGGCGTTCCGCAGGGCTCGATTCTTGGCTCATTCCTGTTCTTAATCTATATTAATGACTTACCTTATCTTGTAAGGGACAATCACGATATAGTATTATTTGCTGACGATACCTCTTTAATTTTCAAACTGAAACGGCAGTCAATTAAATATGACGATGTAAATAATGCTCTATCGAAACTAGTACATTGGTTTAACGCCAACAATTTGCTCTTAAACGGCAATAAGACAAAATGTATTAAATTTACAATACCTAATATAAAACATGAAAAAACCAATGTGCTCTTAAATAGGGAGGAGTTGAGTCTTGTGGATACCACTGTTTTTCTTGGTATTACTATTGACGCGAAACTTCAATGGAGTCCCCATATATCTAAATTAGCAAGCAGACTTAGTTCTGCAGCATATGCTGTAAGAAAGTTTAGAAGTCTCACAGATGTTGAGACAGCTAGGTTAGTGTATTTTAGTTTCTTTCATAGCGTAATGTCTTATGGAATTTTGCTATGGGGTAATGCGACTGATATTGAAGCTATATTTGTTTTGCAAAAGAGAGCCGTACGGGCGATTTATAATCTAAATTGTAAAGAGTCCCTCAGAGAAAAATTTAAAGAAATAAACATATTAACTTTGGCATCGCAATATATTTATGAAAATGTAATGTATGTACATAAAAACATAAATAGCTTTAATAAGAATAAGGATGTTCATACCTTAAACACTAGGAACAAACATAAGCTTGTAATGCCACTTACTAGACTCCACAGAATTAGTAATTCATTTATGGGGAAATGTATACGCTTTTACAACAAAATCCCAGAACATGTTCAAAGTTTGTCAATAAACAAGTTTAAAAGTTTTATTAAAGAAAAACTGTACAAAAAGGGTTATTATAATATCAAGGAATACATGAATGAAAATAACCCCTGGGAATAAGGTGATCGCCACCATGCTGGTTCTATGAAAATTCATTTAAAATTGTATAAACAAAATTATTGTTAAGTGAAAT